CCACTTTACAAAAGTTTGTGCAAGAAAAATGACAAAAACGTTTTTTCCAACTTTTAGATGCATCGAGTTTTTTCAATTTTTCTCACTTAAAAAATTTAAAACCAAATATCGAACTCTATCAAACAATGTATAAAGAAAAATTAGATAAAATCTTCTTCATTTTTGCATCGTTGGCATCTTATATAGACATATATTTTTCATAATATTTATTAAACATTTTAGGTGTAACAACAGTAGAAGTCATGGTTGCACATATTTTAGTGAAATTTTTTATACAATTTATTCAAATATCATTCATGGTTGTTTTTGCTGATCTTATTTTCAAAGTACTGTGAATAATTCACTGATATTTGTAAGAAATAGTAGTTTTTATCTGTTTCTATTTTTCTAATACAGGTTCAAATCAAAGGTCCCATTTTACTTGCAATGGCATTGATATTTGTTCAAGGTATATGTGGAATGAGTTATGGTAAGTAGTTTAGAAAAAAATATAAATATATGTAAAACGTATAGATCAAGAATTTGATTTTAACTCTTATTCTCATACATCCATTAATATAAAAACATAAGAAATTGTCTGACATTGTCAGTGTTTATTTTCCAGTTTTTGAAAATAATTGAAACAAATTTAAACGTGATATATTTATGTCTTTCTTTTTTTAAATATTATAGGTTTATTGATATCAGCTATATGCGAACAAGAAGTTGAAGTTATGGAAGTGGCACTTGGATCAGTATTTCCTATATTGCTAAGTAGCGGTAAATATTTAAAAATTTATCTTAATTATGCGTTTATATAAACTATTTTGTCTTTAGGTGTCATATGGCCATTAGAAGGTATGCCGCATATAATGCGTGTTCTAAGTAATTTTACACCATTGACACATACAGTTGAAGCAATGAGATGTATTGTATCCAAAGGTATATTTAATATTTATAAAAAATATTCACTAATTATCTCTACGTTTGTTTTTGTTTTATTAAGCTTGGACAATTGTTGATTTTAAAGTATGGTTTGGTTTTGTTGTTGCCACTTCATGGACTACAGGTTTTTTTATCATAGCGGCAGTATTATTTGCATTAAGAAAATAAAATTTTCATATGTATTTAGTTTAAAATGATAAATGTCTAGTCTTTTCCTTCAATGTCTTTTATACGAATTTGTAAGTCTAAAATGTATTTTATTCGTTGTTGTATCTGTTTTTAATTAGATTTTTATATCAAATATTTTGAGCTGTATATATAAAATTTATATGTTCGTAAATGTTGCAACACCCAGAGTAATAATAATAATAATACTAATAAACAGTCATTATTTTTCAAACAATTACGTATCTAGTAGAAAATAGTATTAAATTGATGCTATGAGATTAGCAATCTGTTGTATGATAGAAAAGTGAAGGAAATATTAAAATGATCATCAATTGTTTGTCTTCTTCATAAAGATTAAATAAATTACTCAAATTTTATGTACATTTTGCCATAACTTTTTTGCAAGCATTTTAGAATGAAAACGTATCAAAGTCATCTTTAAACTGATGTTCAATATTATCGACGTTTTTTTTCTTTCTAAATGCAGTAGCAAAATTTTTTTTTAAAGATTTTTTAATGGAAGCACTTTTAACTGTGGATGTATAGAATACCGGAGTTTCTGTTGCATATGGTAAAGATGTTTTCTTACTAATAGAAGGGTAGAGTCGAAAACGCTCAACTTTCCCTTCTATTATTCGAACGCAAATTATAATTTATACTTACAAATGCAAATGAACTACTGTTTGTCCTAACAAGATTTTAAAGAAGAATTAAATTTTATGTAAGTCATAGAATTCAATCAATTTCGTGAAATGATGGAGAATGTACAAACAGCAGAGGTAAAGTATTTCTCCCTTATGAGAGTTAGAAACATGAGTAACATGAAATGACCAATAAATTGGATAGAAAGTATGTGATATATGAGAATGTTCATATAGATCTATAGAAAGAATAGTAAGATGACGTAGGATCTTCCGAGTTTTTAGACCGGTTACCAGCTTGATTGGCAAAAATCTTGATCGGTTACATCTATGACTTGTATGAGCTGAAGACTATACGTTCATATTTTCAGAGGCACACATTTTCATCTAACTCATTAGTTATTCCCATGTTACTCATGTTTCTCTCGCTGTCTTATACAAGGAAAGAAATATCAGACTTATAGCTCACTCCTACAGTCTCTATACTCTCTTCAAATTGTCATGCACAATGAACACGAATATAATTCGATTCGAACAGAAAATTATTAACAAGTGTTTCTTTTGATATTTACATTGAAGATAATATACTGTTTGTAGTACAGACACCACTGTTTATTTGTAGAATAACATCTTTAGATCGATCATCCGATAAAGGCTCTAAATAAAATAAATAGTGTAAAATGTACGTAACAGCTGATAGATAAGTTATTGTTATGATCCTATGCATCTTTATTTAGATTGTTTATTTTATCAATTAGTCGGGAAAATTTTGATGGTGCTGCTGCATCAAAGATTAAGATAATAAGTGAATTTTACAGATTATCTTCATCTTACATACGTAAACCAGTATTTAAATGTGCTTTAATTATAATTGGTAGTATTAATGAATTTTCTAAAATACAATATTGATTATCATATTTAGTCACATATAGAATTCTCTTTTAGTACTTACGTGTAAAAAAGTAATTGACAAAAAGTGGACGTTAACGTTCTGGAAAAAATATCATCTTTCTCTTCTTCTGCATCAATTATATTAACGGTTGATCGCTTGTAGCATAAGTAATTTCGGTCTCATTGAGTTGATTACATTTTGAAATCTTCTAGAAATTGAAAAACGTTTTATCTTTTGTAAAAAAAACTAATAGTATTTAAAGTGATTAAAACCAGTTTTTTAACAGTGGCCAATAAAGTCTGGATTAGAAATAATTTGATTATTTTGCCATACAGAATAAAATCGATGGCTGAAGTTTTCGACAATTATATGTCATTTCTATTAGATAGTTTAGGGAGAATAGTTTCGCTCAGATCGTTTGCTGGCATATGGGTTTTAGGTGATTTCAATGCTCATTGTTCAAAGTGGTGTGCATCGAAGTCTTAGATGAATTTGTTCTCAAAAAATAAAAAATGAAACGTTTTTTAACCGGTTATGTGACTTTGCATGGAATATGTGACACTAATGTATATGTGGTTTTATTGTACTGTATTTTGTAACTTCCCATAGGTTGTTGCTCAATCATATACATAACCGACTGTCAGTGCCTCAGAGGCGAATTCGGTCAATCTTGCTGTCACTAATAACCTTAATTTTGTGCAAGAAGTAAGAGTTTTACTTACTCTGTTTGACCAATAACGACACACACAGCTCCACAACCACCTAAACCAGTCTTGCGTCAAGCATGGAACTATAATGCTGTGGACTGGGACTATTTCCGTTTTTCTCTCATGTCTGATTTGAATTCAAATTCATTTTTGTTTTTTAACTCTAGTCTGGAAGAAAAATATAATCCTTTGTTGAGTTCAATCAAATATGTAGCAGAATAATGTATTCTGAACAAGCAAATTGTGTAACGAATGAGCTCTAGTTCATGGGCTGTTTGAGACATTTGTATAGATGGAAAAATAAGTTTTATAGACTTGGTAAATAAACAGAAATCAGTCCAGTCTAAGACATTTTACAAAGAAACGCAAAAACTGTTTGACGTTGCGTGTACTCAATACACTGTACTGAGGCAAAAGAGAAATGCATCGAACGTATCAATCATGTAAACTGTGCAAGCAAATACTGGTAGAAACTTTTGAAGCATAGTGTTCGACGAGTTAACTCACCGTCTATTTCAGTGTTAAGTGACAACAATCAGACTCTCATGCAGAGAAATCGAACATACTTAATGAGCATTTTGCCACCATTTGCACGATGCCGCCAAACGAATGTAATGCTCCGATCGATGAAAACTCGCTGCCGTTTCCTAATTATAGATTGACCAGTTTTGAAGTTTCTGCTAGAGAAGTGGAGGAACTGTTATCTACTGTATGTGAGTAAAGCAACTGTTTCCGGAATCACAGTGTGCATTCGGACGAAGTTTAGGTAAAAAATCGAAAATGAACTCTTTTTCGATTCAAACAGTGATAAATATACCTCAATGCATACCCTATCTGATGGCATAAAAAGTTTTGTTATAAGCCCTTAAGAAGCCTGGAAAAATAGCTAACCAAAAATTAGACTGAAAATACTAGCACTAAAAATAAGTAAGCTTTGTGTTTGACTGGTAGGCTAAAAAGACATATGTTCTGAATCGAAATACTATCAAATATTGACTAGTGAAAAGGATTCTCAGTTTAGACTTATAATCTTAACGAAAAAAATTTTTAATTTTTTGAAAGTAATTTTCCGAATATCTATGGTTAGTAAAATTAGCGTGCACCCTTTAGCACCCATTTAAAACTCAACAAAATTTTGCCAGAACATCCTTCTAGCTGTTCTGTATCAATATAATTAGCACAATCGTTCCTGAATCGTACTGTGCGTTTTCCAAAAAAACCTTGATTTTTGAGGTTTTCCATTTTTTTCGGCTCCGAAACGTCTCTATTCGAAATCAATGGTGTATTTGGAATCAGCACGCGAAAATGCATCGAATAGTGTGAAAGAGATGGTCGTTCTGTTGAAAAAGGTTGAATGAAAGGCTGTCGCAATTCGATCTTATATACTTTCACCAAATTCGACCAAAAACATTTTTCGTCTGCAATGAACTTGAACTACGGGCCCGCAATAACCTTACGCTGGGTAGGAAATTGTCTTTTTTAGGACATATGTGGATGTATGGGGTAAAGGTTGCAGTTTCATTCATTCGACTCACAGATTCTTCGTAATCAAGTTGGCAAAAGCCGGGTCCATTTTGTGTGATTTGCGGTTCTTTGCACCCATAACTGTTTTTTTCACAGAAAATGGGTTATTCTGGTACATTTTGGTATACAATTACGTGATCGCTGTTTTTAATAATGGATTTATCCATCCGAGTCAATGATATACTATACGGTAGATAAACTCGTTCGAAAAGAAATTCAAAACAAAAATCAACTTGTTTAAATGAAAACGATGCAATTTTAGACGCTATTATTATTTGAGTATCGAACAATTAAATATGCACACATAGAAAAACTAAACAAAAAAATCATAAAAAAATCTTCTTCGAACGTCTACGTGAGACGGAAGAGACAACGTGTGAAATATCCAACGGTTAACAGTTCTTTAAATGAATTCTGAAGCAGCTGAACCGACCTGACACACTACATAAAACATTATAGCTCACCAAAAACCCTTTTAAATTTCTAGAAATCATCCCTAAACGTCGTAATGTGCATCTAACACCACCACTGGATTCAAAATACTTGAAAACCTATAAGAAACATTTTTGAAAATATTTGGTTTTCTAAAGACCCTAAGGTTTTCTAGAAAACCTCCAATGAAACCGCTACAAAACTTCTGACATCACCAGTAAAAAGAGCGTACTTCTAAACCTATTTTCGTCTTATATTGCAATTTTTTATCGTTTTAGAGGTCATGTTGACCTGTTATACGAAAAAATGCATACTATGCTTCTCCTTTCTGTAAAATATATTTTTAAAATGTACAATGTGCTGATTATTATGGTTATTGTGCTAATTAATTATAAGACTGAAATAATTGATAAAAAAAATATTTTTAAATAGTAATGGCGATAGTTGAAATTCTTTTTTAGAATTAAGATGCATGATTATTGAATATGAAAATAGACAGTATAAAAATTTTACTATTTATAAGACTTAAAAATAGAAAAATTTGTTAGGAAAAAATATATAATGCTAAACAATAGAAAAGGTAGTATTCAGTCTATCGGAATTAACAATCGAATGGTATATATAGACTGAAAGCTGAATGATATTTATTATACGCTTGATTTATAAAACATGAACAGTCAATTATAGCGATTGTTTACATGAAATGCTTAATGATAGTAAGTTTATTAATGTTTTTTTTATACAAATCTTGTGTATTAATTCCCTTGATGTTAGCCAGAATCATATAGTAAAAATGTCTGTTTG